GAAACTTGAGAGGATTTAAAACTTGCAGCAAATTATTATTATATTATAATTGATTATTAACGTGTGAAATTACATGATAGGTGGTCTTGGACGAGGTGACCTGTAGGTCACCTCGTGTTGGATAATTCAGTAAATTCGTGGAGACAGGCAACACTGTGCTGGGAGCCTCGGGTCTGGTGGTCGTGGAGACAGGCAACACTGTGCTGGGAGCCTCGGGTCTGGTGGTCGTGGAGACAGGCAACACTGTGCTAGGAGCCTCAGGTCTGGTGGTCGTGGAGACAGGCAACACCGTACTGGGAGCCTCGGGTCTGGTGGTCGTGGAGACAGGCAACACTGTACTGGGAGCCTCAGGTCTGGTGGTCGTGGAGACAGGCAACACTGTGCTAGGAGCCTCAGGTCTGGTGGTCGTGGAGACAGGCAACACTGTGCTAGGAGCATCGGGTCTGGTGGTCGTGGAGACAGGCAACACTGTGCTAGGAGCCTCGGGTCTGGTGGTCGTGGAGACAGGCAACACTGTACTGGGAGCCTCAGGTCTGGTGGTCGTGGAGACAGGCAACACCGTACTGGGAGCCTCGGGTCTGGTGGTCGTGGAGACAGGCAACACCGTACTGGGAGCCTCGGGTCTGGTGGTCGTGGAGACAGGCAACACTGCTGGGAGCCTCAGGTCTAGCCGTCAGCTCCCACAACAATGTTTCCTTTCGTCACTGTTCCACATTTGTAATAACTTCTGCACTTTCCAGTTCGCGTCCTTGGAATGAATGCTCTTTATACAAATATTATGTGGATTGTTTTGAATGAAGTTCATTAGAACTCACTTTAATAACAAACCTCTTTAACATTATATTTAATGTTCGCTAAACAAGGCCCTACAGCATGTTTATGAATGATGAACCGTTGAAAAAAGTAAATTGGATTTCACTTGATCTGAAATTTATTAAATAAAAAGCATAGACTGTTTTAAATATATGTAATATTCAGGCAAATCAGTTTTTATGTTACTAAGTAATTCAAACGTAAAATTTGAACTCGTTAGAGGGACAGGTGACATCTCCTGTCAAGATGTCAGTAATGTGTTAGAAATCAAGTTAGATTTCAAATCAAGTTAGATTTCAAATCAAGTTAGATTTCAAATCAAGTTAGATTTCAAATCAAGTTAGATTTCAAATCAAGTTAGATTTCAAATCAAGTTAGATTTCAAATCAAGTTAGATTTCAAATCAAGTTAGATTTCAAATCAAGTTAGATTTCAAATCAAGTTAGATTTCAAATCAAGTTAGATTTCAAATCAAGTTAGATTTCAAATCAAGTTAGATTTCAAATCAAGTTAGATTTCAAATCAAGTTAGATTTCAAATCAAGTTAGATTTCAAATCAAGTTAGATTTCAAATCAAGTTAGAGGGGACAGGTGGTGACCAATCAGCTGACTGCGTCTACACGTCGTTGTTATATATAGAATATTAATTTTCTCTTGCAATGTTGCACTCTAAAAAAAAAGAGCACAAAATTAACACTCAAAAAATTAATTATCGTAAAAGGTGTCGCCCAGCGTGTGTATTGGTTAATTGAATTAGCATAGTTTTCTAATTTTCCATTCCTGTTGGTTTTTCTGCGTTAATTTAACGGTTTAATTTTGTGTAAATAACGAACAGCGAGCGAGCAGCTGAAGGGACTATCGTCCTTATTGTTAATGCCAGCTCCATGGGACAGTGTTTGCCAGAGCAAACTAGTTTCCATAAGTGTGTGGGTCTCGTAGTGAAGTGGCAGAGAGAGAGAGAGAGAGAGAGAGAGAGGGAGGAAGAGAGAGTGAGAGAGGGAGAGGGGGAGAGAGGGGGGGGGAAAGAGGGGGAGAGAGGGAGAGGAGTGTGTGTGTGTATATGTGTAATAACACTGGGGATGTTATACACCCGAGTGGCGAGGATTAGCAGCAGAGCAGCACCGCCGAACACTTCAACATTTAATATCCGTCAACTGCCGGAGGCCTGACACACACTGCAGGGTGTCGGGTGTCTCACATGATCGCTCTCACTCTCGCTCAGCTCCACCTCCTGTGTTCTGGGGGATTAATTTCGGTTAGGTAAAATATTGGGTTGAAGAGGCGTTTATTACATGATACACGAGTTTATTATTTAATATCGGTTAACTAATGATTTCATTGTTGTCATGCCCGGACTTACAAGTGGCCGTTATTGTATTGTTTAGAGGTATTTGAAAGTTCGAGAATACAAGAATAATTTTGTAATTTACTTGAGGGCTACTAACACTATAGTGGTCTCGACGAGGACAGGAAGCCGGTGGCTTGTCGAAAGACAAACGTCTCCAGGGTAATTATAAGGCTGAAAGTTCCTGTAGCCAGGCCCGCCAACAATCAGGGTGCGAGAAGCCTACTCCAGCTAACATTTTAGTAAACATAAACAATATAATTGTGATAACAATAGCCTAAACCATTTCATAACTGTCGTAGCCACTTACAAGACAGTGGCGTACCTATAAGGGTGGGTGTGGGGTCAGGGCAGTGAGGGATCCTTTCATCACACCTCTTCAGAGGCGCCTTTTCAACAATATTTTTTTTTGTCAACTCTTGCGATAAAGATCGAATCTCAGAACTGTGTACAAAGTGATAATGGAGCAATGGCAATGTGGCCAATTCAAGTCTCGAGAAACTGACCGCAAAAACAATGTACTGTACTTAAATTCATGATCGCCCGGGCTCTATTTCTCCCAACTTCTCCCAACATTGTTCTACTAATGTTCTGACCTCATCAATAACCAGCCGACTCAAGCACACGCATAGTTAGACCTTCGGTCTACAGTGGATAAGGATAGTCTCTGGGTTACGGTCTACAGTGGATGAGGATAGTCTCTGGGTTATGGTCTACAGTGGATGAGGATAGTCTCTGGGTTATGGTCTACAGTGGATGAGGATAGTCTCTGGGTTATGGTCTACAGTGGATGAGGATAGTCTCTGGGTTATGGTCTACAGTGGATGAGGATAGTCTCTGGGTTACGGTCTACAGTGGATGAGGATAGTCTCTGGGTTATGGTCTACAGTGGATGAGGATAGTCTCTGGGTTATGGTCTACAGTGGATGAGGATAGTCTCTGGGTTATGGTCTACAGTGGATGAGGATAGTCTCTGGGTTACGGTCTACAGTGGATGAGGATAGTCTCTGGGTTATGGTCTACAGTGGATGAGGATAGTCTCTGGGTTATGGTCTACAGTGGATGAGGATAGTCTCTGGGTTACGGTCTACAGTGGATGAGGATAGTCTCTGGGTTACGGTCTACAGTGGATGAGGATAGTCTCTGGGTTACGGTCTACAGTGGATGAGGATAGTCTCTGGGTTATGGTCTACAGTGGATGAGGATAGTCTCTGGGTTACGGTCTACAGTGGATGAGGATAGTCTCTGGGTTACGGTCTACAGTGGATGAGGATAGTCTCTGGGTTACGGTCTACAGTGGATAAGGATAGTCTCTGGGTTACGGTCTACAGTGGATGAGGATAGTCTCTGGGTTACGGTCTACAGTGGATGAGGATAGTCTCTGGGTTATGGTCTACAGTGGATGAGGATAGTCTCTGGGTTATGGTCTACAGTGGATGAGGATAGTCTCTGGGTTACGGTCTACAGTGGATGAGGATAGTCTCTGGGTTAGCTTGAATCTCAATATACGTCCGAGGATACCAAAATAAAAATATAAAGTACCATAACAAGGAAATACCCATAAAATCCCGCCAAGTAGTTTGTTACTTGCAAATCTGATGTTTTTAACTCTAATGTGTTTAATGAAATACTTCCTGATTTTTTGTTTTGGCTGACCTGAGGCAGGCAGGTGTCAGGTAAGCAAGAGAAGCGCCCGCTTGGACATGGAGAGTATTGTGGTGATCACATGGAGCACTGAGCTGACTTGAACCACCGATCGAGCTCTTGGTCGCTGGTTCGAGTCGCCTCAGTGCTCCAATTAATTTTCTCATAGATATATATATAATTATATCGCGTCAATATGACTGTTTCGTGTGTAAGGAGAGTATTACCGTGATATGAGAGCGAGTGAACCTTGGTGGAAGGTTACTATAACAGGATAAGTCGACTCGGCGTCCCACGAGCGTTCACAGTATGTTCACGACTGAAGAATTAATAAGTGACTGAAGCTACTGGCAGATTAAAACCTGTCACACGTCATGCCGTGAGTGATGTGATCGGTGTGGTCCGGTCGCTTACTGTCGTACTACCTGGACCACTCTGCTTTGAAAGATTCTTAGACTCCCTAAAATCCTTTCCCCATCTTCCCTAGATTCTCCCGGAATGTTTTGGAAGCACAACTGAGGACATAACCAATCTGAGAACAGAGTGGCTACCTACAGTCTATTCCCCTAACCGAAATGAATCGGTCTGCTGAGACGCGAACACTGTGCATAAAAATATACTGTTTATTTCCTCATTGAAAAAATATACATCGCGCTACAATAATATATGTATGTATCTAGTATTATGCTGCCAGCAGTTGGCAGGACATCATTAGCGTGTGAAGTGAGTGTGGTGGTAGTGGTGTGTGTGTGTGTGTGTGTGTGGTGGTGGTGGTGGTGGGAGAGGGAGTTACCGTGGAAGGGTCGTCCAGGTGTTGGTTCCTCGCTCCCCACCTGTTGCTGCTGGAGTTAAGAGGCTGCCCACTGGATTATATTATTGTACACAACAGTCGCACAGAACTTGTTTTCGGGGGGTGACTCTTGTAAGTTTAAGGAATGCATACTTTTGTTAAGTCAAGAAATGTGTTCTTAATTAAATGTTATATGCATATTAGTTTATAACAATTAACACGTAGCAATAATAGAGAAAATGGTAAACTTGCATAAAATTAATAATTTGTCTATGCCATAGAACTAGAAAGTGCTGACCTAGCTTTACTTTACCGCGTGATCTGCTGAAAACTACTAATTTGTTGTTGTTGTCCAGCCCCAGAATCTTATCTTCAGTCATGTCTAAGACCACATTCTTGTCCCCACAGGTGAGGCCATCCATCTGGCGCGAGATTTCGGGTATGTTTGTGAGACTGAATTCCCGGCCCGCCAGATCGCGGAGTACTTGTGTCGTCAGCACTCAGACCCCGCGGAGCAGTACCGGCGCAAAGATCTAATTCTCGCCACAAAGTAAGTATCCTAAGCTGACCAGACCACACACTAGAAGGTTGTAACAGTTCTATTGTTACGTAAAGTATGGTGACAAATAAACACAGACACTAAGATACTATATATATATTTGATCGAATATACAGAAGTACACAGGTGATACGTTGGTGTGAGTTGAGCGCACTGAGCGTCGGTACAGTATCTCGCAAGTGTCTGCTCTAGACCACACTTGAAAGTAGACTAGTTAATGTTTGCTATTCTTGCCGCTTATATTGCTCGGGCAACACCTCACCGTGCTGCCCGGGCAACGCCTCACCTCATTCATCTCCAAAGGTTGACAGGAATATTAACACTATATTTGGAGCGAGTATATTATTGGGATAATCTACTCGCTACAAGGTGAAGGGGCGACGACGTTTCGGTCCGTCCTGGACCATTCTCACACTGAACGTCGTCGTCCCTTAACCTTCTAGTGTGTGGTCTGGGCAACATACTTTAGCCACGTTATTGTGACTCATCGCCTGCATAAGTATCCTAAGACTATAGAAGCTCTCAAGAAAGCCCAAGCGAGGCAGCTTCTATGTGTTATGCCCGGCTAAACACACTCGTATATATGTCAAACTTGAAATAATCCAGCAATCCAAAAAGCTATTGTCACTTGGCAATCAGTTCAACAGCCATATTTCCACTCCAGTATCCACATAAGTGTTTTTTAAATCTAAACTTATAAATTTTGTATTCAGATATGCCAGATGTGAACTATATCAATGTATTTCTAACAAATAAAAACTAACTCAGTAAGATCAGTTTACATTCTAATGCCAGAAATTGTGTAATTATTTGGGCGAAACATAACCAATATATATGTTGAGATGTCACAGTATGAAATGTTGACTTGTTAGTAGAACCAGAGTTTGGAAAACATGAAAACTGCACATGGCTCGATTTTTAACCCCCACCCTCTTTACATATGTGTAGAGCAGTGTGAGTTATGACTGAGCTGGGAGCAGGTTGGGTGACTGAGCTGGGGCAGGTTGGGTGACTGAGCTGGGAGCAGGTTGGGTGACTGAGCTGGGAACAGGTTGGGTGACTGAGCTGGGAACAGGTTGGGTGACTGAGCTGGGAGCAGGTTGGGTGACTGAGCTGGGAGCAGGTTGGGTGACTGACCTGGGGGGGGGAGGTTGGGTGACTGAGCTGGGGGGCAGGTTGGGTGACTGAGCTGGGAGCAGGTTGGGTGACTGAGCTGGGGGGCAGGTTGGGTAACTGAGCTGGGAGCAGGTTGGGTGACTGAGCAGGGAGCAGGTTGGGTGACTGAGCTGGGAGCAGGTTGGGTGACTGAGCTGGGGGGCAGGTTGGGTGACTGAGCTGGGAGCAGGTTGGGTATTACCCGCGTCATCTAAACCCTTATCATCATCTTGCAGGCAAATTACCAAAGAACTGATGGACCTGCTGAACCAGGACAGGTCGCCGCTATGCAACACTCGGCCGCAGATCATCCTGGAGCCGTCCATCCAGCGACACCTCACACACTTCTCCCTCATCACTCACGGCTTCGGCTCTCCCGCCATCGTCGCTGCACTCACGGCTATCCAGGTTCGTTTCACTGGCTTTCGCAAAGCTCATTTGACGCAAGTTTTACCTCTATTTTATAGCAAATGTTTACGAAGTTGAAACATGTTGATCCCACAAGTTAGTGCAATCCCTTCGCAACCAACTGGTTCGAGATTAGATTCCTGGGCAAGAGCGAGATGTTTGGGCACGTTTTCTTATTATACCCGATGCCAACATGTATATAATTAGTAATCGGTTAGGTTTGGGATAATTAGTAATATTACAATTCTATATATTAAAGTATGTGCTAAATAAGATAATGACACAGGGTATGATACTATGGTGAGGAAATTAGATGTCATTGTTTCACTTTACTTCAAATTATAGTAATTTATACTGATGTTGGAACAATTTGGCATTCTATATTTATCTATTTCATCTCCACATCTAATGGGTGATTATTTGATTACATAAAAAATATAGGCCAATGTTACATTGGATCACTGTTTGTTGTTAATATATATCGAGTAAATTAATCTTCTGCTGACTTGGCAAGAAAGAGATTTTGCACACAAATGTCACATACTTGAATATTTCACATTTGTATTCTATAGTTATTGTTAAGGTAATTAAGGGAGTGAGTGAATCACAATTGAGTTCCAGATTGAATGGCTTTTGTCCTATAGTAGCAGTCACCTCATTGCCCAAAAGAATTTTGACATTGATATATCACGCCATTGTGATTTCTTTGAATACCATTACCTAACCTGAACCAAATTTTGCAGAATTTCTTGACGGAGTCACTGAAGCACCTTGAGAAGTCCTTTCCCTCCTCCAATTCCCACCTCACCGTCACACCCTCCATAGATCTCAAGAACAAGGATATGGACAAAAAATAACGGTGTGGCCATATAACTCACTTCCCGCCCTCCACCTACACCGCCGCCAGCCAGCCGCCGAGAGTCAAAGACTACGAGACATTCCTCAATTTATGTTATGGCTCGTAGAGACGCAAACTCTGCTAAAGATTGCTGTTGTCAGCCCAGCGCGGTCTTCAATTATGCCTCAATTTTTATTTTAAAGAATCAAAGCTCCCCCTTTTGAAGACTCGCTGCTGACACACGACCGGAGAATAATTTGTCACATGACTCGTTGAGCTTGGCCTGACGGTCTGTTTTGTAAATAAAACTTTATAGGCTTTAAGGTTGATACACGGTTGCCATGGAGCGAGCGCTGTTCTGATGGCAACGGAAGTGCAATAACGCACAAGAGATAGTGCATAATACTCAGCTTTGTGGAAACGTATGGAAAATAAAGACTATATAGAAGTGATTTCTGGGAAATTTATTTAAGTAATTTCACCTCTTCTAAGAGGTTTAATGAATCTCACAATCAGTAGAAGATTATAAGTGTAGTGTGCTAAGGTTTGTACAAATGCCATATTGCCATATTTTATTTTGACTGATAAGGTTATTAAACACCCACTATTCACAACTGCAGTTTATAGACAAATTTAGTTCGCGGATATTTGGATACAAAGCGAGACGGTGTTCAGCTATTTCATGTGCCACTCATGATACCCAGATTGAAATTCTATTGTGATGCTCTACCATTTAACAGTATTGTTTACCGAATACTTTGTTTTGTATCTAGTAAGTAGCCAAACTTTGTACGTTAGTAGTGTCAGGGTGAACGACCCTCTGAGGTTTTTCACATCCAATACATATCTGCCAAAACAATGTACCAAGTGCAATCTCTTGGCGATGTGATTTATAAATTAGGCAAATGGGCGTCTTTGAGAGCAACTGACTAGTTATGCGAGGGAGGCTAGGCAAGCCTCTGTAGGTGTAATATTTTGTTGGTTACTCAAGTCGATCCATGTTTTGTACAGTGTAGAAAGTACCTACAGACTCTATTTCTCTCTGGATGGGACTCTCTCACCTAACCTCTTGGCTGGGAGTAGTATAGTGTTAATCTTATGTAGGTGATAGGAGCCAAGCCTCTCAGACGCGAGTTTTAAAGTGTCCAACAGGCATGACAAAGTTATATATATTTCACTTCCTAATCTATTTTCTCTTTATACTGTCAAAATGTCTCTCTTTTTAGCTGTTACTTTTGTTGAATTCTCCAGTTTTGTTATAGAGATGTGAATAGTACATGATCTCTCAAAAGTGATCTGCATCTTTTCCCAAGTACAATAAAGGGCGTGAAATGAACTCGCTCATATTTATAAGCTGCTTCAGCACATTTTTTTCTGTACAATGTTTGCTTGTAATTTTTTTTTTACATTTCTTATCATATCACTGCTTAGTATCAGTATTTAGTTTCACTAGTCTTGCTCACCGTTCCTTTGTATTCCTCTTACTAAGCGTAGGAAACTTTTTGATCGTGAATTGCCAGTTTTTTTTTCCTGTGTGGTTTGTTGGAAGGACAGTACTTCGGTATATCTTTTAAGACATTTTAGAAGGCTGTTTTATTCTCATTTCCTGCTACATTATATCCCAAAATAAGGGTGTGTGTGGGTGTGTGTGTGTGTGTTATAACTTCACTGTGATCCCTTAGGAACCCAGTGTAATTCAAAATATTTTTCTATTTTTCCTTGTACACAAGTGAACGATGTGATGTATGTACTTAGTGTATGTGTTGCCATGAATGTGTATAAATGTGGCAGAGATAGCAATTCTGGATTTTGGGTGATTTTCCATTTCTTACTATAATAAAAATTTTATTCAATGTAATAACACCCAGAACTCTTAATTGATGTTTATGTCGCATTTTCTTGAATCTGTTGCGAGTCTGACCCAGTGGTTTACTTTGGGTCATGGTGACAGTAACCCCTATTGTTTATATTCTGTGCTTTGAATATTGAGATTCTCAATAAAGACAGCAAGGGCTCTGGGTAAGATGCAGCCAATACAAACCTCATATCATAGGCCTACTGTGGGCCTAGTTTATTCTACTTACTCCATTTTACTCCCTGCCCTTCCAAATGTCTGCAAATATGGCGTTGCTCAGACACCTTTCTTCTACAAAGGAAAGATTTTTTGTTGCCCAATTTCATGTAATGTTATATTATTAAATAAGGTATTTTATACTGTGCCACGCCCCTGGCACATGCTCTCCACAACCTGGTTGTTTTGTGTGTTCCTCCATAAAGGATGGTACCAACGTGTTGTATAGTTTATCTGTCAACTTGAAATAATTTTAATGCTAAAGGATGCCATATGTAGAATAATAATAAAAATCTTAACAAGACTATCATTTATTATATCTTGCCTTCTAAAATAGTCACTTATAAAGAGTTAATGTTTACAACATGTCATATTTTATAAAATTAGTACAGCAAATTATATTGGCATACTACCATATCACTCGCCACTCCAACATCATACATTTAAATATAATTAACAATTGGGTAAACACAAACGAATACAAGCAATGACATTACCAATCTGACTTGAAAAAACTTTTGAGCAAGATTGTAAAAATATGTATATACCGGTATTGCACAAGTTATAGTAAGCTAGTTACTACATGTAATCCTCCTGGTTTGTGTTTCTCTAAAGATGTAATTCGACATGTAATCAAACATCATTTTCCAGTTGCAGGTAATGTCTTATTACATTTTAAATGTATTAAAATAATTCTGGATACCTCTGCATTCCATGATCCAAAGTCTGGTAATTGAACAGGCTGAACTATTACTAGATTTAAGACAAAATTCAGTATATGCTCACAGGGCACAAGACAGCAAATGTAATCAGAGTAGCAAATATTTATTACATTTAACGTTTAAATGACCTGTCTTGATTTTTCCGCATCATTCCACTGGGAATGATACAAATCTTGAATTCCTTTACATGTGCATGTTAATGATGGCTTTACTTGTAAGTAATTACACAATGTAGCAATTTGTTCCTGGGTAGCAAGTTATTTTCTGATTTGCTTATGCCTCCAAAAGTATAGAAAATGGCTATTATTCCTCTCAAACTCAAACAATTACCACAGAATGCAAAGGGTTAAGGCTCTAGAGCCATGAGGCCACTCTTGAGTCAACCACAATAACAAAGTAACGGTGACGTAGAGAAAACAGCTGACAACCATACAAAATGGCAAAGTTACTATGAAAATGCTAGCCTCCGGGGGTTGAAGGCACATACGGATCTAGTCAACAACGAAGTAGCCAACACCGTCGGATGATTTAGACCCCATCTGTGAACAGAGCAATGGAATTTGATCCTCCATACACAGCAAAATGAGGTGGAAGAAGGAGTGCCAATGCTGGCATTCAGCAAGATGATTTTTGAGACCAAACTGGGGCCTCATCAATGAGTGATAGAGCAGCTAAGCAAGGGGAGCTTCGATGATGTAGGAGTAAACTGAACCAAAGCATTCACATATTAAATAATATGTCTATGTGAGAAAATCATCAGGGCAGGAATGGTCAGCATGAGATACATCAAAGTATTAGGGCCATATAGCAAGCCCAAACAGGTCCTGAAGTGTAGTAGTAGGTGCAGGAAATGTGCATTCCCAACGGTGGGTACAATGCCTTGGGCCACCCAAAAGAAATGGAGCAAAAGGGGCAGTAGTAACCACCGAAGAACTGGTATCTCCAGGAAACGTGGTAGACATCACTGGGGGATACGAAAGTCGTCCCTACCAAGGAAGAGGCAGAGGAGGGGGGAAAGAACTGGAGAGGTAGTCTTAGATAAAGCTTCGTCTGGGTCCAACACAGCAGAGCTATGAAGCCCAATCTTCCAACACAATCCAACTCAACAGGGCCTGGTTGCCCATCCCACAAGTCAGAGAATGGGAAACATGAACAGAAGAAAACATAAAAAAACTGAGAAATATGTCGCAGTCCAGCACCTTCACTTACCACTAAACCCAAGAAGGGAAGGCACAAGCACACAAGCAAGTAACCTCAGTGGTAACCAGAACAGTATATGTTGGTAACTATTGAGGGACCAAATGACATCCCAGGAACCGATTGGGATACCAACCCCCACAATACCCACTTGATTCGATGTCTAGCCAGGCGGGGCTAACCAGACGAGCCGATGGATACAGGTTGTTGGCCTCCCCCCCCCCTTCCCCACAAGAAGTGTGTCTAGTCTCCAGGGGTTGCAGTCAATGGGTAAGCTCAACTCCCAGGTGGAGGAACATCAGGAAATATACAGGTCTCTAGACAGGAGAGGGATGCAGGAGCTATTCCTCCCCTTCCCCCCGTGGGCAGTGCATAAGAGCCTCCTTGTCACAACAAGGCTCTGCCCAATGAGGGGGTTGGAGGCACAAGCAATCAGAAAATAAACACAACCAAGGAACAAAAATAAAATTATTGGTGTTATCAAAAGCTTTACTTTAAAGAATAAATTTGTGCAAACATAACTTCCATTCCAGTTTTGGAAGAGTTCCGTAGAGTTTGAGATGATCCCAATAGTTTAGAGTTACAGTGTGTCTATGCGTGCCATATTTCACCACACATTTCATGATTGCACTGCAGTACAGGGAATAACTAGTCTTAGTTTAACAATTTCAGGTACTGTATCAAGATTCTGGGAACTAGAAAATATGAAGTTTTACAAACAATTTATTCACACGTCATCATCCTCACTCTTTCTACATTTGCTGGTACTGTAATTTGTATCTCCATATTGCTTCTCACCACCTAAAAATATTGCAATGACCATCTATTATACAGTACTACTGTAGTTTTCAGTAGTACAAGGTAGTACTATTATACAGTACTACCTTGTTTCAGCATATTAACCTCAAAGTTCACAAACCCTCCTAACAAACCTTACTTATTCATTCAAAGTGTCATCATTTGGCTGTGGGTCAGTGGAAAAAAAAGTGAATTAGTGTGTAATTACCTAAACAATTTGGGTGTGTGTAATTACCTAAACAATTACCTAAGTGTAGTTACAGGACAAGAGCTACACTCGTTGTGTCCCATTTTTACAGTACTTTATCATATGATGCTTTGAAACTAACGTACTGACAGTTTTGGCTTCCACCACCAGCTTACTTAACTTGTTCCAATCATCTACCACTCTGCTTGCAAAAGAGAACTTTCTAATATTTTTTAACATCTTTTGTTTTATTAGCTTGCATCTATTATCTCTTATTCTTTAAGTAGTTTTTAAGAATTCCTCTTTGTTAATTTTGCCAACCCTCGTTACTCTTTTGAATGATCATATCTCATTTTCTTTTATCTTCCAGTTGTGTAATCACCTAATTGTAGTTGTGAGAGTTGAGCTTTGGCTCTTTTGTCCCACCTCTCAACTGTCAATCAACTGGTGTACAGATTCCTGAGCCTACTGGGCTCTATCATATCTACATTTCAAACTGTGATTGGAGTCAGCCTCCACCACAGACTCCATAATTGTGTAATTACCTAAGTGTTGTTACAGGATGAGAGCTACGCTCATGGTGTCCCGTCTTCCCAGTACTCTTTGTCATATAACACTTTGAAACTACTGACGGTTTTGGCCTCCCACTCACTTAACTTGTTCCAACCGTCTACCACTCTGTTTGCAAAAGAAAACTTTCTAATATTTTTTTGGCACTTTTGTTTCATTAGCTTGAATCTGAAGTGTGTACTTCAGTACGTGCACGTACGCACGTGCCTATGTGCGTGTGTACACACACACGTACGTACGCGTGCATGCGTGTGTGTGTGTGTGTGTGTGTGTGTGTGTGTGTGTGTGTGTGTGTGTGTGTGTGTGTGTGTGTGTGTGTGTGTGTGTGTGTGTGTGTAAGCAAGGTAGGTAAGGTAAGTAAGTTTCTTAGTAATAGTAGATCGTCACTGATGTTGGCAGCCCAGGTCTGGTTAAAATCATGGTGACCTGAGGCCGTACAATGATGAATTCTCCATAATTTTGTACAGTGGGTTATGTTATTTTATGTCAGTTGCCATAATTAATTTTTCCTAAGCATGTTAAATGATACACGAAACATTTGCAAAGAATATCTACATGATTACCACAGGAAGTCTGCCTGGTCAGAGACTGGATCACTGGGACCTCGAACCTCTGAATCACCACAAGGTAAGATAATCATGTGAACCTTATAGCATGCGAGGATGACAAGATGATACTCATAGAATATGAGAGAATGATTGATGCCAGGTGTCATCACAGTAAATGCCAAAGCACAACTGAAAAACAAAGATGAGCATTCAACATTGCACCTTTTCACTTTCCATAATTTTTGCTGAAACAACAATAAAAATGATGTAATTCAATATGTCCACTACCATCAAATCACTATGGATGAAGAATCACTACCAAACACAACATTTTCGGCTTGAAAAAGTATCATCAATGAAATGCTTTATCTGAAGCAATTTTGAGGTTTCCAGAATTATTGCAAAACTCTTCCTTCATAATTGATCAATGAGAATTGTAAATGACTTCAGTACTCATGATTTTTCAACACAAATATTTACAATGCTTAACACTAATTGTTATTAACATTCAACATTAACTTTGTTGGTCAAAATATTATTCCATAAATTGGCCTAAATTATTCGCCGTAATGATCGTAATTACAATAACCCCTCTAGCGTTACAGAAGCAATATGAGCTAAAAATATTAAAAGGATGAAAGTGGAAAGCAAAAAAAATGTTGCACACATAAGACTTAACTGTTCATTATATGTACTTAAACCTTCAACCCATTTCTTACAAGAGAAAAGCTACACGCAAAAATCTTTCATGCACTTCACATTTCTCCCTCCCCCTCCATCTTTCAATCTCGAACATGTCCTTACATGTGCCACAAAAACAGAGTTCTCTAATTTCAACCTTTTTTGTCCTATATTTACAGGAACTCTTAATTAATATATATCATACCACAGAAAAACTTCCCATATACCAGATATGCATGCAACCTTACAATAAAACAAACACACACACCTTTAATACACGAAGGATTTAATTGGCATCTCCTAAATTACTATATAATCATAAGAGGAATGTATGAGAAGAGGTTTCTGTTCACAATGCTGGGAATTATGACCATAAAACATAGATCAAGAGAGAGTACAGTGCCCATCAAAATAATGCAGTGTCCTGCTCCAGGCACAACACAAGAAACACTTCACAGGAATATTAGTAGTAAAAAAAAAAAGTATTTTAATTACCTTTTAATGCTTGGTTGGATGGTCTTTTCTTTTCTTAACGGCTTGGAGACGTTGGGGTAGTGACAAAGCAAGATTATGTAGGTGGTCAGGTGAGATTTTTATCTCAGGC